AGAGAGAACTCTAAACCATTAGGCTATGCTGCTTGTGATCAATTGGGCAATGGTTTTATGTGGTTTAGGGAGACTTACTTTACCTCCTTAATATATGGGTCTCTAGACAGAGATATACTCCTTTCTTGTATCCTTACAGTTCTTGTGGACTGGGCTGTTTTTCCTTTATCCCAAAAGAATTGATTGTGAGCTGACTATACATAAAATACTCTGCTAGGCCCTTAGAGAAAATAAAGATAGAGATGATGACCTGGTGCCCTGAGGAGTTTTCTATCCAGGAGAACATAAGAGAGATATGTTAGGTTAAATTATAGGAGACTGCCATCAGGTATTCACATGGGAAGATTTAACATGGCTCAACCTGACATATAACTAAAATAAGACAAAATAATGTTAACTGAATGTATTGAATTCTCATTATGTTTCAGGCACCATACTAAACATTTTACTTGCACTAGTTCCTGAATCCTTAAAATAACTCTCAGAGGTGGATACTATAATTATCCCCGTCTTACAGATGAGGAAGTTAAGGCTCTGAGGGGTGAAATCACTTGCCCAAAGCCACACACCTGGTGAGTGACAAAGATGGAATTTGAACCCAGGTCAGTCTGAGTACAGAACCAGTACACCTTAACCCAGAATATAAGCACCCCAGTGGTACCAATAAATGTATGTATATTGAGATTAAGTTTTTATTTCACACTCTATAGAATGCTTACTAACTCCTCTGGTATGTTTTGGTGTTTCTGTGATCTGGACACATCTGGTCATGCATTTCACGCACTACTTAATCTTCAGCATTTGCATTCTCCCTTTCTGAGAATAGCCAGTCAACCAAGGGGAACATTTGGAAGAAGAAAACAACAACAAAAAACCCCCAAAACACTTTCACTTTTCATTGTTATATGGATATTGGACCTGTTTATTGGGAGGCCCAAACACATGCTAGAACATTTGAATTATATCTTTTTTTCCCCTCTCCTTTTGTTTCCAGTTGCCCTTCTTTCTAGGTCACATATATTATGGGAATCATAAGAGTGACCATTTAACTGTATGTAATTAAATTGTAGACAGTGCAGTTAAAGTTATTTGCATATAGTAAAGCCATTTGGAGAAATTCCATCTTAAAAAGTTTCCCAATCAGATTTCCCATTCAGATACCAAAATCCTGTCTATAAATAAATATAATTTAAAATTTTATGCACTGGGCCGGCCCGGTGGCGCACTGCTACAGTGCGCCGCTTGCGAGCGTGGCGGCGCTCCTGCGGAGGGTTCGGATCCCACATACAGACCGGTTCCCGCTCACTGGCTGAGCGAGGTGCGGGCGCGACACCGAGGGTTGCGATCCCGTTGCTGGTCCCGGTCCTGTACGGGCGCGACACTGAGGGTTGCAATCTGTTGCCGGACATGAAAAAAGACAGAAAGGAAAAAAAAAATTTTTATGCACAAAGACATATTCTTTATTTAAAATGTTAAGTTTTGTAATCCTGTGGGGAAAAAAATTAAGTTGTTTTTGTTTTGCCATATTATTAAATGATTACAATTTTGTTGGTACTTGGAGAACCTGAGATTCTCCCACCACTGTCGCTGTATTTTGCAAACCTCTCCACCAGATTTAAAATTAGATTTGACAACTGGCATTCTCAAAGTAGATCTTCACTAATTAAAGTGTGGTCCCTCAGCCTGTGCCACACCACTGGACGCTAATGTTTGCATTGAAACAACAAAGACTGCTTGTTCCCAAGATCCTTTTCAGGCCTAACAAAGGGTGAGTTTTGGAGTCAACCAGACTCAAGTTCTCCCATCAGCCCTGGTTAGATTGATGACCTCAGGCAAATTACCGAAACCACTGGGAGACTATTCGGCAAAATCAGGATAACTAAACCTTATCCAATTGGTTTGAGTGAAGGTTCATGTGATAATGTATATAATGCATAATGCATGGTGGCACTTAGTAGGCCCTCAATAAATGTCAATGCTCTTATATTTGATCATTCTCTAAAAAACCTGCAATGCCCTAGACTCTTAATGAATCTACATAAATTCAACTTTGGTAGGTCATCTTTTAAAGTCAAATTTTGTGTTTCCTTAAGGTTTTGGCTGACTTGGGAGGAAATCTTTCTGAAATCCATTAATATTTCATTGGAGCTGTGGAGCAACAGCTGTAAAACTTGCTTGGTAGACCCTAATTGCAATGAATAATCCATGGAGTCTTTTGAAATGTAATTCTTCGAAATGGGTATTATAATTAAATTGCAGCCAATCCAAAGGCACTTTAAAATATATTTAAAAATTTCCCAAGCCAATTAGAAAACTGGCTGGTCTAACCATCCAGTGTGGAGGAATATGCTAATTCATGCAAAGACTACTGTTCCAGGAAGGCCTTGGCTGAATTTGAAGCAAAACATCTTCTGAGAAAACACCTCAATGATACTATGTGATACTAAATCACTGAGTGTATTTTTAAGGCATGTTTAAATACAAAGCATACATTATGAAAGAGTGGCAGTTACTAGAACAAGATATGGTTTGTTTTAAAAAGGACCTTCAATGTAGAATATGACAACATTGTATGCCAGCCTTGACACATTTATTTTGCGCAATGTAGTATAGTTACAGTAGTCTTATATAAGCAAGCAAGGTGCACTACCATTAAGTTTTTTAATGCTAAGAGGATATAGAAACCAACCAATAATTTCACTTAAATAACTTAAATTTAAGGATAATTTTATTTAGAACTCACAAAATATCTGGGGGACGTGGGTTTGAGCATTCTGTTTATCCGTAGGACCCCACTGCTATATGCATTACAAACTAAAATAATTTTAAAACATTTCTGATGCTTATATATGTATTTTTTAAAATCCTGAATAACATTCTTGTACAATTCATCTTAACCTATTCTTGATGTTTATTGAAAATAAAAGACAACCACAAAACCCCCACTATATTTTGTGTGCACTGGTAGTTAACCTAGCCTACCAAGGCACCCACCCCCACTCGATGCTATCATAATTAACATTTATTTAAACACTCTGGATACTAGATGATTATGGAGAAGTCTCAACAATGTGAGATTTGAGATTAAAAACGGGTGGTGATTATACTTAGACCAAAGAGTGTTAAAGGGTAGCTCCCTTTTTAAGAATGGAGGTTATGTAATGAAAATTCCACAAATATGGAGATAAAAGTTATCTACATAAAGAGAAGGCAGTAGAAATGGAATGTTTTGAGAGTGATTTACTCAGCTCCTCACCTTCATCTTAGCCGCTAAAGTTTTGTTTTGTTTTCCTTTTTAATGTTGACATACAGTTTTCACAGAAAAGGTTTCACATCGTTTTGGAATGGAATTAGAGGGTGTCGCCAAGGAAAGCTCAGTACCTTTGAAAGTTAGAATAAACCAGTTATTTGCCAAATAACTAAGTTAAAAGTGATGTTTTAGTTTTTAAACATACACAAAAAAGTATTTACTGAGGCTTGTTCTAATTAGTGTTCTAAGCAAATACTGCGTTTTTTGTTTTTATCTCCCCCCCCCCGTGTCAAGCTAAAACTGGAGTGTGAGTGTGTGTGTATGTGAGTGTGTGTGTGTGTGTGTGTGTGTGCAGGGCGCCTGCGGAGAATTAGCACGCATCTCGTAGATCTTAATAAAAGAAAAAAAAAAGCCAAATAAACCTGTTTCTTGAATAAACCAATACATTTCTTAAGTTAAAAAGAATCCAAAGGAAACAGGAATTAACAGCGTTAGAGCTTGATTTTTTTTAAAAAATTTTTTAATTAGAAAAATCCTAATCTCCATATTTTTTGCCAGGCGAGAACCGAAGTTTGGAGGTAGACGAGCAGGCGAGCGGTTTGCCCGGGCGCAGAGCATGAAGGCCGGGCGGGCGCGGGGAGCGGGCGCCCGCCGCCCGGCGCGGGGGTGAGCGAGAGAGAGAGCGGAGCGCGTGTGGCCGGCGCCGCTC